GAGCCTATTTCCAGACGCTGCCTCAGAACATAATCTCTTAATCAAACACAAAAGCCTGGCGAGTCATACACAAAAAGCAATTTCCCTGACCAAAGCAGGCTGCAGCCTCTGAAGGCCTTTCTTTTTGCCCGTCGCAGCCCTGCGCTCCCCAGAGGACGCGTCCTTTCCCTGAATCCCGTGTTGATCATGTCACGGACAGGCAGGGCTTAACTCTTCCTTCGCTGCTCCGCCTTTGCAGGTAGAGCTTATGTCCTCTGGGTGAGGATCTCTGCTGCGCTGTGTTGTCGTAGCTCCACGGAACTGGAGAGGATTTACACCAGGTGGAGATTCAGCCCTGAGTTTTGGATGCACCTCAGCTGCACAATTTTGCAAGGGGGTAGGAAAAAACACACCCTGCTAATTGTTGCAGAAAACAAGGGATTTTGAGGGTAGAAGAGACCGTTATCTCGTAGTGACTCTTTCTTCCCCTCCCTCTACTCCAAAACTTGTTTGTGGTGCACTGAGTTTAGCAGGTGCTGCCTGCACGCTTGTTCAAGAATCACGTTTCAGTTTGTCTGCTCTGCAATGTCCACCTTAGTGTTCGCTTTCCAATCTCCCCTGCTGGAACCGGAAAAATGACACCTTCAGGAGATGGGGTGTTATATATCTGACTTCTCCAAACACCAGAGAAAAACTTTCCTTGATGCCAGGAGATTAGTAGGTGTCTTCTCCTGCCATTTTCTTACTATCTTTGTGTACTTCGTACCATCTTCAGATACGGTTGTGGCATCAAAACATTTTGGAAACGTGGGTTCTCCTCACGTTTGGTTCCAGACAGGTTTCTTGTGCAAGATTGAGTGATTTTTTTTTTTAAACTGCTGTAGCACCTTTGGGCTGCAAAAATATATCCTAGAAATGGTAATTTCTTACTGATGCTGTTGGTTCCAATAGATGTAGTTTTGCAGGATGGTATCTTTTAGGTAGTTTGTTCTCCCCTGTTACAAAGCTGGCCTCAGTTTACGTAATCGCAAAAAAAGATGCCTTCTTCAGAGTGTGCTGATCACGAACTGCTATACTTCAGTGCCCAGCTTGCACATCAGGCTGCGGTCTGGCTTGTGCCATTAGGTCAGACCCTTTCAGAAAGCCACTAACTTTCACCCTTTATTCATATTTCATCCACTGTTAAGTTAGTATTAATAAGCTAATTCGATTAGCAAGTTTTCTTCTGTTCATGCTTTCTGTATTGACTTTTAAATGTCAGTGAGGTTTTTTTTTTTTACTTTGAAATTGTTTAAATGCACAGAACAGTCTTATTTCATTTTTACTTCTTAAAAATCTACTTTTCTGTTCTTTTTTGTGATTATCTCAGTATGAGAAGTTGCCAGTCCTGCAGGTTTACAGTTGGGTTTTAAAGCAAAGGAATGTAGTTCTTTACATCTCTATCTTTTTACTGGATCTAAAACTACTATAAGCATATACATTTATAATGAATTCTGTAATAATCATATGTGTAGATTAGGTTCAACATACTGGTTTTATAAATTGACAGGATACCTTGAAAAGGAAACCATCAAACAGACTTTGAAGCTAAAGAGACACAAGACTCCTATGCCAAAGCCAGTATTATGAGACATGCTTCATTTCCACAGAACACTTTAATCCAAGTTATTAATTTCTTTGAGGACTCACCATGTGGAGTTCTGCATGACAAGTAGTACATAAAATATGTATATTAAAGGAGATTAATTCCATTGTAACGGAATATTTTGTAACCATGTCTATCCCTTTGGTGAAGCAATTGATCAGTTTTTTCAAAGACTGCTAAATCCTGTTACAGGTAAAATTAATTGTCCAAGTGAGAATTATTTTTTGCCACTTAGTAATTTTCCCAGGTACAAGAAGCAAGAATCTAGTCTGTACTTATATGTAGAAATTTGCATCGTATATGAAAAATCAGATGTGTGAAGAGTTTTATTTTCATTTTTCAAATCATGCTTATCTAATTAGATGCCCTCTATACAATTAAAATGTATAGCCCTCTAAACACTAGCTACTAATCCAGAGGTAGCTAGATGACTTGAGGGATTAGAAAAGAGACTTAAGAGTGACTTGCGTAGCCACAGTGCTTTGGAGATGCTTTGGAGCTTAGTTGAATTCCACAGAAATTAGTGAAATGTTTGAGTTCATAGGTTGAGTTCAATTCTCCTATTTTGGTGGGGAAAGCATGAAAAGTCCAATATCAGCCTTTATTCCAAGATGTTTGAAATATGAATACTAAGAATACTTTGCACAAAAATAAGTAAGACTCAATGTCAAATTAAGATCTTCAGAAAGCTGTAGAGGAATGTTTTGTGGAATTGCCTCAAAATACTTCGGTGATGTTGTTCATCCAGTTATAAAAGTACTGGTCATATGAATCAGTTTTAGGCTTTAAATATCTCCAGAAAGCTGGAAAGTAGTCTGATCTGGGGTTTTAGATAAGCTTATCTCTACGGGGAAAGGGAGGGGTGTGCTAACGAGTTTGAGCCAGGAGAAAAATAGGTTATGCGCATCCCGGGTGTTTTTGTGCACTTCTCCAATTCATCTGACTGTCAGTTTGTTAAATGTTAATCATCTTCTGCAGGATAAAAATCAACATGTTTGCTACTCTAATATTTGACCTTTTAAACATTCAGTGTCTTTGATTCAGGATATACTCATTAGCCCTCATCTTCTCAAGTTAGATTGAAAATGCAGAAAACTAATTAGAGAATAGATCAATAACGTCAGAATTTCACTCAACTAGCATACACTATAAAATATTGACTTATCTAAATCACTATGGGTGATGGTTTTCTGGGGGACACAGAAAGTGAGAAAAGAGGATTGCTAGTGAAAATAACTAAAAAAAGGAGAGATACAAACTCCAGAATAATTTTTTTCTTGTAATTTTATGTTACAATATTTGCAGAGGCTAAAACCCGGGCTTCAGAATGAGATGGTAAGTAATAGAGAAATGAAGTATGAGAAGAGTGGAACGTTTTCTGCTCCCGAAGACATTACATCTTGTCAGAAGAGACCCCCTTGGGAATGGACTTTGCTATGATTCCTAAGAGATTAGGGATTCCAACCCAGGAAAATGGTGGATGATTTTAAAAAGAAAAGGTCATTTATGTTTGGTATAGGATTACCATGCTATGAATTGCTGTTCATACCTGGGTCCTGCTATAAGTTTCTCTGAGCTGTTGGACAGGTTGTTCGATTTGCTGTGCTATTGCATTTCTCATCTGTAAAGCAAGAATGAGAATGCATCCCATCTCCTGCTCTTTTTCTCTACATCTAGTGGTACCTGTCCAAAGGATCACATAAAATGTGCCTTGCTGTGTAGCTGTTTACTGACTAATCCAGTAGGAAACCAATCTGAAACTCCTGGATGCCGCCATATATAAATAATAATATTGTCCTTTCTTGCAGTGTTCAGCTCAGAGGACTGTCACTAGCAATTATATTCAGCATTGTATGTGAGGATGCCAAGTCCCCCAGGGTATGCAGGGTTATCTAAGTATTCTACTGTAAATAAAACCCAAGCACTGATTACTGGTATTTACATACTAATAATCAGGGTTTCTGGTTGGAATGAACAGTAATGTGTTTATCCATGGATGACTTTACTGGTCATGCATACAGTTTGCAAATGACAATCTTTTGGCTCTAAATATAAGTAAGAAACTGCTGAATTCCATCAGATGTTATTTTTAGAATGACAGTGCCATTTCTTGCTTCTGGGCATGTCCGTGTAACTGTGCTAGCTCCGGTGGAATAACGTGGTTACAGCAAGAGGCAGGATGTGGCTACCAAAAGTCTGTCTTCCATTGCTAGTGTGTTAAGAGTAAAACAAAACCCAGGGTTGTAAAAAGATGACCTGTTAGGATTTTTTTTGAAATCTAGATGGCTCAGCTTTTATGCAGTGCTTCCCTTCTCTCAGCCTCATGAAGTTGAGGTTAAAACTTAGAGAAGTTAAAGCCTTCTGCGGTCCGAAGCTGGAAAGTCAAAGTCCAAATTCTCTAACACCCCGAGTCCTACCTAAACACGGACATAGCATCCAATTGATTCCGCTGGATTCCTGCCCAGGTGCAGGAGGGATATACTAGGAGAATGATTTTCCTGTAGATGCTCTAGGCCATTTTATCCCCTTTGCTGTTGATCAGTTTTGAGGTTGGGGCACTGGCCTAAGCAGACCTGTCAGTGTGACTGAAGGCTATTTCTGCGTTTGGAATAATCAGTAATAATTATTGTTACTAATAAGAGGTAAACCAGATTTGCTTTACTATGCAGTATTTGTTACACCAACTTGCTGTCTCCCACTGAAACCATAAGAAAATGTGATCCCTTAGGACTGGTAAACTACATGCTATCCTGGGACTGACTACGCTAGGTCTTCTGTGTAAGGACTGCAAAAACCTGAAGCATAAAAGCTGTATCTGAGTACCAGAGGAGCCAAGTACTTTTACATTATCTGCCAGAAATTCTGTTCTGGCACCAGGTGCTGCAAGGCCTTTCCCATGAGCTGGGGGGATTTGTGTCGTGTGCGGAAGCAGTCAATGCAGTTCTGAGGTATGAAGTGCAAAGAGGACTGCTGACGTTGCTCAAGGGGCTCTGGGGGAAATGCGCACAGGATGCAAGTAGCAAATGAGAAATATTTCTGTGGCACTCTTTGAGTAATCATTTTTGGTTGTCCTTGTAAATTAATGCCGTTTCCCTTAAATTGCACTGCCTTTGTTCAAGAAGAAATCTTTTCTAATACAGTTTTTGATACATTAAATTACTTTTATCCTTGCAGTTGCTTTGTCTTCAGAATATCCTTTTGATTTAAGTGTATTTTTTTCCTGAGACTGAACTGCATTGCACTGGCAAGAAATTAGTTTGGGAAGTCCTTGCATATGTTTGGTCTTGGATTTTTCTGTGTCATGAGTGAATTGGCAGCTGCAAAGTCTGTCAACCAATTTCCATGTCAGTGAACTAACATAATGATCTGTTTGCAGGGTCAAGCTGTTGCTCAGCTCTGTTCAACTATTCCCAATGTTACTGTTTTTGGAACAGCTTCATCTTTCAAACATGAAGCAATCAAAGACTCAGTAACTCACCTGTTTGACAGAAATGCAGACTATGTTCAAGAAGTAAAAAGGTAATATCTTATTTTCCTGAGTAAGGGTTGTATAGTATCTGGCAAAATACTATGAAAGACATCGGGCTGACCATATTTATGGGAAGAGATTACATTTGTGAGTTTGGGAATTGTAGTTTATCTCAGATATTCCATCTGTTCACTATAAGGGACAAGATAGCAAGCATCTCACTATTTCTTGATAAGCAACGTAAGCTTTGTTATTCCATGTTCATACTCGGACATCTGTTGCGAGCCAAGTAAAGTAAGTGAAAAAGAATAAAGGTCTTAACAGAAGGATGTACTTTGCTATTATCTGCATATCCAAAAAGCTCACCGTAATGCACTGAGTAAGATATTTTCAGTGGATCTGTAAGTTATCCAGGTTTTGGACTTCTCTGTTGAGTTTCTGTCTGCCTGGGTTTTTATCTTCTGCCAGGGGTTGATATCTGAGCACATGATTCTGTTTTAATTTCAGATCCTTAGATTTTGTTTGTTTGCATTCAGATTAGAATCATCCTGTTGCCTTTTGAAGTCATCATGTGTGTTTCTGTTTACATGCTTTCAAATACTTTGTTTTCCAATTTGTCTAGCTTTTTAGATACTGATGTTGATACAGGTGGCAAAATTTTAGAATTGATACGAAAATGTTAGTAAAAAACATCTCTTTGATTTTACTTGTCAGACAGGTAAGAATAACGTTTTCCCTTCATCTTGTATCTCTATCAAATTTGATACTTGGATCTAGTATCAAAATACTAGATTATGTAGCTGGGCATAAACCAAGACATTTTTCAAAGGGACGCCCCAAGGTAGTACAGCTGACAGGCTTCCTGTCAAACACACATTCCTCAGAGCGACGTGCACAGTCTCAGGGGGACTCCTAGTACGAGGGTTACTAGCCCTCAAAGGGGCCCTTCAGTATACAGCAGACTTTTTTGTCTGAGCTGTTAGCAATCCCGACTGGTTTTGGAGAAGAAAGCAGGGTGTCTTGCTACTGTTTCTGGAGCACTCCCAAGGGCTTAAGAGAACATTTGAAACAATCCACCACAAAGGATGTTTTATATCAAAGGAAAACTTTTCCATATGGGAAGTTTCACCAAAAAAGATAGGACTTGTCCAGCAGATGACACCCCTACCATTTTCTTACATCTCAGAAGAATTGCAGCACATTTCTTCAGCCCTTTGATAGCCTTTCTCTTGGGGAAGTATACATACCTAAGTGTTTTGCTGCCCCTGGAAATTGCTGTAGTGAGATGAAGACTGAATTCTAGCAATCTCTGCTTTACAAACATTGATTTAGCAAGAAAGAGCACTTGCAAACATTAATCAGAGTTCAGCACCAACCTTAATCCTAACTCTTGGCAGAAGCAGCAGCAGATCTGATCTAAGTGGGTATGTGATGTGGGAGCAGATACAACAGGAATCAGTTCTTAAAAAAAGGAATAAAGCCCCTTTAACTTCTGATAACTTTATGATTGCAGATAATGTTGGCTGCTTCTGCCCTTCATCAGGACAGTTCTTTTTGGGACAGTTCCCTGACACCACCCCTGACTCTGTGTAACAGACAGTAACTACTGAAATCAAAAGGAAACCTGGTTATGAAGGGGTGGAATTCTGCTCTGTTAAGCCTGTTAAAGTCCCTTTTGGTGATCCTGCATTTTCACATACTTTTTCACCTTGCAATAGACCCACGAGGCAGAGAAACAGTGGGTACAAAATATAAAATATAGACACGACAGACTAGTTTGTTCTTCTTTCCTGGTATAGAGGTGCATAGTACTAGCATAACTGATAGTCCTGATTAGAAGTCAGAATTGGCACCCTGTAGAAGATGCCAGTACTCTGATTTGTTGCTCAGATCTGTGTATTTTCACTTTGCATTCAAAAAATACAAAGTACAGTGCTAATTCTGAGAATGCTATAAAGATAAATTGTCTTTCAAAAGAGGCAGTGGGGGAACAGTGTAGTTGTTTGGTTTGCTGGATGTTAGCTGTATACTATGTTCTGCTTACAACGTTTGGCTGGCCAGCAGGGAAAACAGCTAGTCTGCATTTGCCTGCTGCACGCTGGGTCAGGGGGAGCCCTAAGGGAGGGGGAGGGCTGGCTCTTCATTTGTTGAGAGTTCGTGAGCCGGAAAGGGTGGGCCCGTGGCTGAGAAAGGATAGTGGTAGGAACCTGCTTTATTGCAGGTGACTGGGGTATTCCAGGGAAGAGCTTTCATCAGGGAGCAAAGTCAAAAAAAAAACCCAAAGAAAAAAAAACCCAACAAAAGAAACCCCCACAAAAAAGACCCCTACACCAACAAACCAAAAAAAAGAAACAAAAAACCCCAAAAAACCCAGAGGTGATATGAATGTGGAAAAGTTTCTGGGGGATGAGGAATCAGTTCAACCGTGGAAGCCACCAAAAGCTGTTCCATTGGAAAGCCAAAGCCATCATTCATTTACAGTGAAAGATCATCCAGTGGCCTGAACATAAACAATTTATTACTACCCTTATGGCAGCAGTACCAAGAAGTAAAGTTGTCCAAATAAAGTTGTCCAATCCTGTTGCTGTTTGTAACCAGTGGATGTCTGAGTATTACCTTTGTCTTGTGAGCAAACAGGAAGGTGTATTATGAGCCGTAAAGCTTTACCCCTTATCCTGACTTCTAATTGCAGTTATACCACTGCAGAAGGCATGCTCATCAGGAGCTAATTGATGTTCCTGGGGATTAGATGCTATTGACTGCTCCTTAAACCTTTGATAGTCTCCAGGTTGCAATTTTCTTGTAGTGTCTGCACCAGTTATTTGCATAGTTCTTTAAGAGTATTAATTAAGAATTTACTACTGCTTGGGCTGTTTACTTGGTTAGGAGGTAGGGTATTAGATTTAGAACAAACTTGAGACAGGATTTTGCAGGCTGGTGTTTTGCCAGAAAAGAACTACTAAATCAGGATATTTGGGTGTATTTTTTTTCTTCTTCAGCATCATATTGACATTGCATTCACAAAGCTATTTGTTGGAAAATTATAAATATGCAAATTATTTATTGAAACAGTATAAATGCTTTCTATAATATGGCCTGACTGTATCCTTAGAGCTAGGTTTCTAGCACTTGGTGACTTCTCTTTATGCTTGATTTAACTCTTTGCTGATGTCTAGTTGATACAAAGTGAAACTGAAGACTCTAAATAACTTTACAAGGACATAATTTTATATGAAAAGAACTAGGATAAGATCTGTTTCCTTACGAATTCAGAAAAGGAATTTCAGATGATGTGAATAATAATGTCCTTTTTCTCCATGACTTTCATTGACCAAAAAAAAAACCTTTCTCTGACATTTGCATTCACTCAGAAAGAACTTTATATCTCTCACTTGTCTTTTGATAATACAATTTTACTGAAAGCCCTCAAAAAGAGGGAAGAAGATGGTTTCTGACTCTTCTAAGCCTGAAAGGCATGGGTTGGCTAGGCCAACAAACTCACATTCTAGCACTAAATGAGTTTGAATTGTCTTTTGATGAGGAGAAAGTTTTCACGTGGTCAAAGCCTCAGCCTTAGAGTCCTTTCTAAAGTACCTGGAAAATGTTAGCATTATATTAACAATCAGCCTGTATCATGCTAGCTGACCAGTCCTGTGATCTTATTGCAAAGTGAGATTTCTCTCCTGCTTTCTAGAATCTCAACAGATGGAGTAGATATTGTTTTGGACTGTCTTTGTGGAGAAAATACTGGGAAAGGCCTCAGTCTTCTCAAACCACTTGGGACTTACATTTTATATGGTAAGTGGAAAAAGCCAGGCACATATTTCAAAACTAAAGCTTTGCAAAGCTTAAAATCTCTTAAAATCGGCCATGCCACTCCTTCCAGAACTGGAGGCTGCCATGTTATACTTCCTCAATTTGACCATTTCCAATCAAGGATTTTAGTGAAGCTGAGCATGGACTGAATTATTGAGAAACAATAGGTAATACAAAGAAACTCTTAAAAATAAAAAAAAAATCTAAAAGTGAAACTGAACACGTTTCAGGTTGCTAAACATTATTGGGTGATACAGGGGAAGTGTAGGAGAAAGCTTGGATCTCTCATTCTACACACCATAGGAATCACAGTGTGGCTAAGGAAACTGTACTATAGTTCTTGTGGGAGGGAAGCTTGGGGGAAGATTTCAGAAGAATGCTATTGTTTTTATTTGACATGACTTTGAGGAATTCAAGCCCGGGCTTCTGTTCACAAATTTCCATTTGTGTACATGGACCGCTCCCCATACCGAGTAAACATGTCTCTCCTGCAGTTCTGCCAGGTCGCCATGTTGTGTGTTGATAAAGCAGGCCAAGCTTCTGTACGAGGACAGCTGAAGGGATTGCTAAACTTTTGAAATGAAGAATATATCTGTATCGCATTGGAAGGTGCAGTGGAATCATTGATAAACATACCGCTTCATCTAGCTAGCAGGGTGGCAATAATGAACACATTGTCACACGGTGTCTGCTTGGACTGTGCAAGCCAACTTGGTTGCCTGTTTGTAATGAAGTCTCTGCTGGTGAATTGTCATTCCATTTGTTAACAGGTTGTAATGTATAATGCATGTATGTTCACACATGTAGTGGTTGGATAAATGTATCTTTACAGATACAGAGAAGGGACACCTGTGTGGTGATTGCTGCTAAATAATAGTGTGTCAGAGGCAAATGGCATTTTACTGCAGAGGAGAGAGCTATAGAAGAGCTTTGGTGTCAAGATGCCTAGTAGCACTTCACCTGTTCCAGGTTTTGGAATATTTGATAGGTTTGTTTTTGTCACCTCAGAGTACTTACAAACTTGTAGGGCTCAGTCACTTTGGCTTCTTTGTTATTTATGCCCAAAGTGTAAGGATATCTACTAATTCCTTTCAAACCTGGTGAAATTTTTCTTCTTAAATATGAATCATGGAAATTATATTGCATATAATAAATGGTCTGCTTGTCAGCATGTAATAAGTGGTGTGTGAATGTACTCATCTTTTACAGGTTCATCTAACATGGTTACTGGGGAGACAAAAAGCTTCTTCAGTTTTGCAAAATCGGTAAGTGTCCCAGTGCTGTGATTCTGCTCTCGCCTCTAACTTCAGTCTCTCCTGTAGCATCTTCATGTTTACCATTCTCATTTATCTCTAAGTTGTTACTTCTGATGTTGCTAGAGAGAGCTTTTTTCTGACTACGGTGTCGTCTGACATGTTTTCTTCTGATAGGACAGCTAGACAGGCATTGGATCTGTCTGCAATGCTTATTTAAATTGTTAGCTATCAGACATATCTCTTACACAGCTAAGTTCATAGTTAGATTGCATTATTTATTTACTTATGGCAGAAGATCATATCCATGGATATGGATAACCGTACCCTGTAGTTTCCTCATATCTGAAAACACTGTCAGGACAGTAAATTAAAGGAGCTGTATCTCTTAAGATGGGGCTTGTGTCCAATCATTTTCAGCTTTTCAGAAGTTAGTTCCATACAGAAATGCATTTTTCAGTTCTCCATGTTCATTTCAAGTGACATCAAAGAGATGGTGATGTTGCATTTGTTTCCTAATGTCAACAAATCCAAAATTCAAATGTTAAATTTTTTTCTTCAGCTTACCACAACAAAAAAAAATCTGCTCAGAAATCTTAGAGATCGAAAAAGGGACAAATATATCAAATAAACTGCTAGCGAGAAATAAGTTAACCGGGAGTGAAAGAGATTCCTTCAGACAAGAAGAACAGAGGGAAGAGTCTTGACTGAAGATCTATCATACAATCTTTCTGCCAAGAGCTCATTTACAGCTTCCAGCAACAACCCCTTCCCAGGAGAAATTAGCTTCAAAAGTCTCTATGTAGTTGAAAACAAGATAAATCGAAGACTGTAGCAAGGAGCTGTTCTTTGCCTCCTACATTTTCTTAATGGTTGTAGTAGCATGATCTTTGTTATTGTCATGCGTTTGTGAACTAAAACAAGATAATCTTTGCTATGCAGCCTTTTTACTGCAAATATAAACATATCCAGGTGTGTATAATTTGTAGGGTAGGTTGGCCCAACAAAATCAATTTCAACTAAAATGTTTTTCACATAGTACTGGTATTTATTGATTTAATAAATATGAATAAATTGAATTAATAAAAATAGCATATAAAATTTTGTATAAAAGTATAACTAGGTTTTTTTATGTAATTATACTGCAAAATTTACTCATCAAAATTGTATGAAAATTTTAACTAAAAATGGACCCGTTCAAATAAAACTTGCTAGGAAGTGGGATCTCAGTCTCAAGGATGCTCTTGGGCTAAATGAGATAACATAATTTCATTAGATATTATGAGGCTTGCTCAAATATCACAAAGATAGTGATGGGTGAAAAGTAAATGGAAGCTGATCAGCAGTGCATGGTTTCCTTGGTTTTGAGAGAACAGTAATAGTCAAGAGTTGCTTGCAAACGTGTGGGAAGCTTGCACAGCTCTCTGAAGATAAAGGATAGCAGAAGTAAGAGAGGTCCGAATTCCGTACTTCTAGACCCAAGTCCTAAAACCAGATCTGTTCACCGTTCTTCTAACACCCTAATCTCATGCAACACAAGTCTGTGTTTTATTTCCACGTGTCAGTCAGCTGCATACTTCTTTGCCTCTTCCTTAAATAAAATTCTTACTGCTTCTCTTGGCTGTTGCTTCAGATCTGACAGATGACGTGTGTATCACATCTGCCCAGACAGTTTGCCTGTGAACTTTTCTGTACATCTATTGAAAAATGTTTTTCTAATCCTGCTGTTGTTTATTGCTTTCCAGTGGTGGCAGGTTGAGAAAGTAAATCCTATCAAGCTGTATGAGGAGAACAAAGTCATCGCTGGATTTTCCCTGTTGAATCTACTTTTCAAACAGAATCGAGGTGGCCTGGTCAAGGGTGTGATGGACAAACTCCTAAATCTATATAACAATAAGAAGATCAAGCCTGTGGTTGATTCATTATGGGCTTTGGAAGAGGTAGGAGCAAAATTTCTTTCCTTCCACATCTTGAAATTTCTGAAATACATGCACTTTTAGATGTGAAATTGGATTTATATTATATATAAAATAAATATATATGTGTATAATCAATATATTTATAACTATAT